GCAAATCTCAACTATCATCCGTAACTATTTCTGGAAGTCAGTTAGAAATACAACCACTCTTCTTTCAAAACGTAACACAATCCCAATATCATCCTTACACCTCGCTATTATCATAAATCTGGTGTCCAAAATTCCCTGGTTGTCTCCTGTTCTTTCTAAGAGCAAGACACCCCCCTCCCTCGTGAACGGCGGATGGAGGAAGTGCATAGATGGTGCAGGCAAGGTGGGGATCTCCAAACTTGTTGGCAGCTCTCTTCTGGCTGCAGTCAGCTTCTTTTCTGGGCCACTGCTGGAGCTGCCAGAACCTGAGGGTGGGGAACTCCGGGGAGCCCTGGAGGAGGGGCCCCAGGAAGGAAGAGGACGAGCGCCGCACGGCGCCCCAGCCTGAGGATCCAGAACGGGCAGAAGCACCCAGAGCAGCCCTCTGCTTGCATCCCAAACCTTGTGTCCACTTCGTTCACGGTCAGAGTTCCGAATTCGAGGCCAAAAGGCCTCTGCCTGCTCCTTCTCATTTCCTTCTCCTTCCTTCCATGCTTACAGGCAAGGAAGGGAAGAGAAGAGAACAGCAGGGAAACACAAAAGTCAGGCTCGAAAACTGCCTGTAAATGTCCTTGGTCTAAACCAGCGGTCAGCGCGCTTTCTCTGTACAGCGCCAGATAACAAACAGTTCAGATTTTTTGCGACGCCACCGCCTTCAGAGAGCAAAAGGAGCCTTAGGTGATCCATGAACAAAACGACTGTGTGCTCACAAAACTTAATCTACAGAAACAAAGGGCAGGCTGCATTTGTCCACCTTTGGCCTAAACAGGACAACTATTTTGTTCCTGTCTATACATATACTCCTATGTTTTTGATTATTAAATATAGCACTCTAGGATAGTTCCTGTTCTTAGCCCTATTTTCAGATCAGAAGACTGACACACAGCCTGGCTAAAGGCCTTGACTAGGATCAGAGAGTGAATTGAACCCAAGAAGTTTGTCTTCAAAACCCTTGAGTTTTTCCCCTTTTTTTAGCTACCAACGAATTTTAATACTGTCTTAACCAAAAAAATTGCATCAACGCTATTCAATTTTTCCTTAACGTTACAAATATTTCAGTCTTGCATTCTTGATTAATTATAGCTTACAATTGATGCATAATTGTTCATCATCAGGGTAATAAGTTTCGCTGAAAGATTTCATACATCTATTTATCTTCTGTTGTTGAATTGAATTAGTCTAAGATGAATTCCCAGGAGCAGCATTCCTGGGCATCTCTAGGACCAGGGAGCAGTGTGCTGGGGAAGGAGGCCTGTGGTATTTGCCAGTTTCTATGGTGTCAATACTCCCATGACGGTGGATTTTAAGCTTCTAACATGACATCACTGAACAGAGCTGGGAAGAGATGCCACACTTGGCTCCTGCAAGGAGCAAGCAGCACCCAGCACCCCCCTGGCTTGATACAAATTGCCTTTCTACTTCCCAGTACCAAGTTATAAATGGAATTACAGGATGTGGGAGTTATTATCTGGAAATGACCTTGATGTTGCCTTTTAAAACTGGATAGTGTGTGAGGGCCTGGGTATCTCAATGTTGTTTTAATTTATATCTCTATTACTGAAACAGATCATTTTTCCATGGTCCCCTTATGTGTGTTTCTTCCACAAATTCCCTATTCATGTTCCCCCATCCATGAGGGGTAGGATGCCTTTCTTTAAGTCCTGAATAACTCTATATGCTGTCATTATTAATCCCTTGAGCTCATCTGACATAATTTCCTTTATGTTCTGCTTTTATTCTTTCGTTATGCAGGAATTGTAATATAATCAAGCCTGTCCACCTGTACTCTGGTGATTGTTTTATTGGTAGTGAATGCAAGAAAATCCATCCTATTTTCATCTATTCCACAAACATGTATTAAACGTTCAGTATGTGGCAGGCATGATTCCATGTATTAGGGATACAGCCGTGACCAAAATAACATCTCTGTCCTCGTGCCATTCCCGTGGGGAAAACTGAAAATAAACAAGTACATATGTAATGGAAGGTCTGGTGGTGATAAGATCTATAACAACACAAAGCAGAGGGAGAAACAGAGAAGGATGGAAAGAGGTGCCATTCAGAAGTGCCCCTGGGAAGGTCACTTGAACAAAGAGTTGAACTCAAGTGAAGGAGTGAGTCATGCTAATTTTTCTGCAATCTGATTTTTTAAAATTGAATTTATTAAGTTAACTTTAAGGGATTTGGGGGGGGGGAGAGGGGAATGGGTATATGACAAAAAAGAGGTTCTGATTATTTTTTTTTCCAATGTATATGCAATTATCCCAATACCTTTCCGTCCTCCTTATTTTCAGAAGCTTTGTTATAAAGCTGAGTCTATTTCTCAGTTCACTAAAATGTCTTAACATGTATCTTTCTCACAGTCTACTTTAATTGCTATTTTTTGGCACTTCCTTTTGAAAAAATTCACCAATTTTTGCTGATGCTCTTTGTTTAGCATTTCTGAATCCCTATTTCTAGTCTCAAAATGAAATTCCATCTTCCCCAAAAGGCAACCAACATGTTCTCTTTGTATCTACTAACACCTTCCACGGAACAGGGCCAACATAGCTTTTTAATACATTTTTGTTAAATTTTGAATGAATGAACTATAAAACTCTTTAGATGTTTTCGACTCCACCTCACTCTTCTAAATAGGTCACAGGTGTCCAAGAGCTACTCTCCCACCCACATGCACGCTTGCTCCTGGCATTCAGTTTCAGAATAAAAATCCCATTCATACTTCAGTCCTTTACCATAAACACAGCAGCTCGTTAAACCAATGGAGGAAGAGCAGAATCCTCACAAAGGCCAAATCACTTCCATAAAAAAGGATATCGTTTGTCTCTTAATCGTTTTATTGTCTCTATTTTACTTGAGTAAGATTGAAAATCTTAATAGCCAGTCTTTAACGTGGTCAAACCATGTGCTTTTCCAGTTCTGTGTTTACACCGTCTGTGCATCCATATTCCCACCAAAACCAAGCAGACCAGGGAGAGGGGGGCCAGCACGGTCCCCCAGGAGAATGTGGTAGCTGTAGGAAGAACAGAGTCACATTATGGGTGGAAGGAACATTCTCTCACTGCCAAGCAGGACAGTGCAATGCGTGTTTATAGAGAAGACAGGAACCGGAGTTCATTTTTTCTAATAATTATGCACTGATTTTTCAGAAAGCATGCCCCTCGCATCAGATCAAGGATATGTGAGAAGGACATCTGCAGTATTAGGGAAACAAGCAAGGTAGAATGAACATCCATCAGAGAGAAAAAGCAGAGTGGGGCAAGGTGGCGAGGGTCTCTGTTCCAACCTGTTGAATAGCGTGCAATAAGACATTATCTGTTCAAATCTCAACCAGCCAACTGGGACGTGGCCAAGGTCCAGCATGTCCTCTTCCAATGAGCGTGCATGTCAGGAGGATGATATAAACTAACACAGGATGAGAAAACCAACTTTGAGTAAAGGAGCTTTAGGTATCAAGATTATTGCTTGGACCCAGCTATTTTATATTCTACTCCTTGGCATCTGTGTGTCACGAGAATGTGGAAAGAGAGTACGAATAAAGACATAAGCAAACACAAGAACATGAGTGTTCGTGGACTCACTGATGATGAGGCCAGAGTTCCACATTTTAAAGCTATCATCGTCTAGGCCTCCGGGAATCAACACAATCTCAGACTATTTCTCCAGATGATTTTTCTACCTTAACATCCCACAAGGCTTAGAAATGTGTCAAGCTTTAATTTGCTGAGCAGCCATCCGGACGCACCTCTCCATGCTGAGGACAGGCTTTTAGCTGTGCCCTCGGCCCTGAGTCGCGGCCAACCCAGCAAAGGACATGCCGGGAGACAGCTCATGTTATAGAAGTGTTTAAAGGTTCCCAGCTCCGGGCCCAGACAAACCACAGGTTCCTTTGGGTCACAATCTGAACCCCAGAAGTGGGCCCTGCTTTCTGTGGGACCCTTCCTTTCCAAGTCTGGACAACTATTGACTCTTTCATGGGAATGATCTAAAGCATCAGCCTTTGCATATATGTCCTAGGACAGTGGTTCTCAAACTTGAATAGGAAAGGAGCCTGCTAAATTACCATCTTTGGCCTTACCCTGGAAGAATTTGGGTAGATCTGGGGTGAGCCCAGGGCTCTGTGTTTTCAACTAGTGGCCCAAGTGGGAGATGCTGGTGGTGCTCAGACCACAACTGGAGAAAAGTTGTATGTGTCATGCTCTGCCCGAGGCTTAACCAAATCCTCAGCTTTTCAATTACAAGTATGTCTGCAGCTGCTTTCCCAGAAAACACAGAGAATGTGGAGCAATTTGTTGGATTGCTACAGACTGCCCAGAAGGCATAAGAAGACTGCAGCTGGCAATCACTTTGGCTTCTGCCTTGCCCCCTCTGGCTGTCAACGGCCTCTGCGTTACCTGAGTTTCGCTGTCCCACTCCACGCTTAAACGCTGGGAAGAAATCAGTTTGGTCCAAATGATAGCATGGGTTTCTCTTTTCTTCTTAAATGGGCACTGGGTTGATTTGACTAGAGTCTTGTGCTTTATTTCCTAGGGACTGATGACTTCAACCCTAAAGCTGCCCTGAGCCCTGCAGATCTGCCAGTCCCCAGCTCTTGGAGAAGGGAGTTCCTCAGTTTCGGGCTAAAGACCACCCCATCCTCCTCAAGGTGTCAGGAGAAAACAGCTAGTCCTGTGGATCAAGGGGCAGAACCACACGAGGACACAGGTTTTTTTTAAGTTTATCACAGAACCACCAGCAAAAGTCAGCTTGCTACTTAAATTTTTCCTTGAACATAATCTCCCAAAGCCAGCTCCCACCCGACAAAAAACAAATCATAAAAAATGAGAGCTCTGCTTTGGGTGCTCCACTAACAGGAAACGGAGGACCCCCTAAGCAATCATCTGGAGAACTAGTAGCTTTGTCCGGCATCCACAAAATACTGGCCATGCTGCTTTCCCCTGGAATGTTCCCCAAATACATACCTTCTTTGACCGTGGTACGGAGCGTCTGAAAACTCAGTGTGTTACGGACAAGGCATTTAAAATCCGTGTTCAAATCCTCTCTTATGACTGGATCAAAAACCAGTGGCACTTCGATGTAGTTCTCATTGTTCTCTGAGTATTCCCTGAGTGAGAAAACATTCACTTAAACGTGATGTATCGAATGCAAGCCCATCTTTACGACGGAGACGCCCAAACGTTCTCAGTGAGAAGGATCAGCTGTGCTTAAATTGGTCTCAGGATTCATAAAGTCAGGAGCACTTGCCAGGATATTGGTTCCCTATTTGGGAGACTTTCTAGGCTGAAGGTGGAAGTGACACTGAAGATGTTGGTCCCTGTAACAGGACGCTTGTCACAAGGAGAACTTAACAGGAGCCAGTTTCGTTTGGATAACGCAAAAATTCATTTTTTAAGACCATTGACGAACAAAGAGGCAGTAGTAGGAATAGAAATGTCTGCCTTGGAGAAGCTTGGCTGTAAGGCCAATAAATCATTTGCATACTGAGGAGGAGGGGTTTTCTGGGAACCCTGGCCTCCACCGTGTTTCCGCCTCTCATCTCCATAGCCAGCTGTCATTCTGGGAACTCAAGCTCAGGGCCGAGGGCTGCAGATGGGCCAGGCCAGGGAATGGTTCTAGCCAGCATTGCTGCCATTTATAATATGATCATACTCTGAAGATGCTTCCCTGCCACCTAGAAGCATGAATACAAATATCACTGATGCGGATCTGCTAGGACTTTTTTTTTTTTTTTAATCCTTGGGAAATTAGGCCCTTTAAGTGTGCAGATAGTATGAGTAAGCTGACATGGGGCATGTGAGTGATGCCAAGCTTTTCCCAACAAGGACTTTGCAAGCAAGCAGTTGTGCTAACCACATATAATTTTGATCCACTACAGTGCATCCAGAAAGACTTTTTTGATAGGTCTTTGAAAAAAGACAAAAACTGGCAAGCAGAAGTTGAAGCTAATTCATTGTACTGGAACTTGAATTTTAAAAATCCTTGATAATTTGGAACATCAAATGGTCTCCTCTCCTCAAATACAAATGGCTCACATTTACAAGGTCTGACTGTTCTACTTTGGGGGTGAGAAAACATTTTCCAGAGATGAATGCTTATGAGAACAGAATTCTTCCTTTCTTTTAACATTAACCTTCCTTAGCGCCTGTGGCCACCCTCAGATACTGTAGTTAACTTTCAGACTCTTTTGAAGGGTTTGCGAAAATGTTTGACACTCAGGTTCAGGGTGCAGCACGGAAATGTATGAACTCCAAAGTATTTTTTTTTTTTTGAAAACTTCAAAAATCAAGAAACAAATGTTTAAGGAAATAGCTAGAAAATGCAACATCAATGCCAAGTAGTCGACTGTAGCCCAGCTCCTGTTGGAAGTTTGATTCTCAAGAACAACTGGTAAAACTTAGCAAAACTCAATTTTTAACATTCTAAAAATCTGCGGCGCCTGGGTGGCTCAGTCAGTTAAGTGTCCAACTCTTGATTTCAGCTCGGGTTATGATCTCAGGGTCGTGGGATGGAGCCCTGCATTGGGCTCTGTGCTCAGCATAGAGTCTGCTGGAGATTCTCTCTCCCTCTTTCTCCACCCCTCTCCTGGCTCGTGCTCTCTTTCTCTCTCTAAAATGAATAAATCAATCTTTAAAAAAAATAAAATTCTAAAAATCCAACAGTTTACAATTAAAAAAATTATTTTTAACGGAGTGTGGGTGTCATACGAATAGGTCTGGTATGACATTTTCTCTAAAGGGAAGAGCAAAGACCTCGGAAGTCCCATAAGATGCTTCTCAGTTGACAAAGATCTTCACCCACTTACTGGCGCTGCCCCTCGGCCACGCGGCCTCCCTGGTAGGCATTCTCTATTCTGGTGTTGTTGGCCATCCACCAGAGCATGGTGGTCGACTGTGTCCCGGCTCCCAGAAACACCTTACACGGGATTGTCAGTCTTGATCCTGTGCAGGGCAAGACACAGCACATCAAAGGTCAGAACCCAGCCAGGGAAAAGGGGTCATGCCAGCCCCCGTGTCCACCAGCAAATCCAAGTGGTGGACCCTTCCCCACCTTCTCAAACACCCCTCGCCAGCCAATTCTTTCCTCAGAGGGAAACTCAGTTCCCTCAAATGATTCCATTTACATAGGACACCAGTATTTATCAACTGTCTCCAGTTCCCTCAACTGGTCTTAGTGAGAGATGAAAACTCTGAGGGCACATGGCTTCCCCAAGGCCACTCAGCTCCTACAGGGCCTTCTGAATTCATGGATGCCTTCTCCCACACTTTATTCTAGGTACCTCAAAAAGTCAGATGAACATTTGGATTCTTTCTCTTTGTCCATTGCTGGTCTCAGCCCTCATGTTTCCCCCAAGAACCCCCCAGTCGCACATCATGCTCTTTTGGGATTAACTCTTTTAAAAAAGCCACTGAATTTTATATGCATGGTGCCTTCTGCAATTGTTCTGGGTCCTCCTCCTCAGTCACTAGAAGTTATATATTTTTTTAAATCACCAAAAGGGAGGAAAGGGGAAAAAAATGAACAAATCCTACCCATTTGTTTCTTCCTCATGGGTGATATGCCTCCATGTGGTGGGTCTTTTAATGTATGGCCCCCCTTCAGGCTCTTCTCCCTCCCTCACTGCCTCTTACAACCTTCAGATTTCTTGGCCAAAAGCAACCCATTAAATCTGGCCTCATGTGATTCTGCCATGCACATGAATGCCTTCAAAGCAACGGGGTGGAGAACTCAGCTCTACTCGGCTGCGGAATGCCCAGGAGCCAGGGTGCTGGACTCCCCCAGGCAGCACCCACCCTTGTCCCCACTTCCTCAGGTTTCCAGGTGGTTGTTCCAAGGGCCGAGGCAGCCTGTGTGAGGCAGCAATCCCAGCGTGTGCACAAAGGTCCCCCTTCTCTATGGCCACCAACTAAAGTTTAAAATATAAGCCCAACACCGAACAGAAGAGAGATCTGGATGGATGGATGGGAAGGAAGGGAGGGAGGGAGGGAGGGAGGAAGGGAGGGAGGGAGGGAGGGAGGGAGGAAAGAAGGGAGGGAGGGAGGGAGGGTTGGTTAAGCCTACAAAACCATTATAGGGAAACAAACACCAAAATGGCACAGGCTTCACGGACACACAGACCTGTCCGAAGCCCAGCCTGACTCAAGTGTGGCTTTGACCTTCAGTGAGCCACACTGGCGCCCTGAGCAGCTTTCCCTTCTACGGAAGGATCCCTACGGGGTCGGTGTTGGCACTGAGTGGCCTCCCGTGAGACACGGTGACAGCCAACAGGGAAGTGGGCACTGGCCAGGACAGCCCGAGGCACAGCCACAAACGGGGTGAAGAATACAAAACCGTCAGTCACTCTCATCATCCACCTTGACCCGCTGAGCAGCCATTTCGGCAACAAGCGACCATCTCTGCGGGGCCAGCCGTGACAGGGTCAGCCTCACGTTACAAATGGACTCTGAGGGAAATGCTATACATCAGCCAAGTTCTGGTAGAGGGACTTATTGAAAACAGGCTGCAGGTGCTGGCCACACAAGGGAATCATGCTGTCAGTCCTTTCACACGGTTGATAACTGCCACCGGAACACTGGGATTTTTACATTTACATTTTTGCAGGGCAGGTGTTCATGGAACAAAGTATACCTATTTTCACACAATGCCATTTCTAACATCTGACAGAAGGAAAGATGTTGTTTCTGCCTCTCACGCCGGGGTGCCAGGGTCCCACCCAGGCACACTGCACACCCCAGGGACAGGGGACCCCAGGGCTTTGGGACTGCAGGCATCCCTGTGGGTGACACAGTCCTTGCAGGCCTTACCCAGTGAAGCTAATATGGTCTGGTGGGGGGAGATAATCACAGGAATTGTCTCCTCTTCTTTTTCTGAGAAGGATATGAGGAAAAGAGATTCAATTAGGGAAGCCATCATTTCAAGTTGAGACTCAAGTTCCATTGTTTAGCTAATTAACAAAGTTATCTCTACAGTATGGCCAGCCATTGTAAGATTTGACCTTCGTCTGGCAAAGGAAACAGGCTCTCCGCAAAATTGAGCATCTTTGGCCAATGCCTTTCCCAGAAGAGATTATTACTGGAAGAGACCACAGTTAAATACACATTCCACTAACAGATGTTCTTTGCTCTGTGATAAATAACTAACCATTCCCCTCCCCAGCTTCCTGAATGAATTCTTAATAGTAATGTTCACAATTCCCACAAGATAGGCTTTACCCCAACGTCTCTTTGCCCTAAAATCTTCCCCTCTTCTCCATTCCTGCTTCCCCAAGTGCCTGACACAGAATACTGCAGAATCACTTCAAAAACATAGAGACACAGGAATTTGGGAACCACCTGTTTATACGGCGAATCCCACACTGAGTGATAAAGAGCATAACCCAGCATTGGCTACTATGTCTTGTTAATGGAGAACATAAACTGCTTTGGGAGGCAGATAGAGGTGGATCTCTGAATAGGAACCCAGCTCCCCAAGAGGCAGGTCTCCCAACAGCTTGAAGAAAGCAGGCACCTGAATTGGAGCAAAAAGCATGGCTGGGGGTGGGCAAAGGGCTGCCCATCTCCACAACTGCTCGCTCCATCCTTACGTCTTCCCTGCAGAGCATTTTGAAATCCTAACATGAGTAAGCATTAGGCAGCGTCACTCACAGTGAAAGGGCACATGGCTTCTGGACCAAGACCAGGAGCCTCCTCGCAATCACCGCCCCCACCAACACACATAATCACATGCCTGCCGCACAGAGGCTGGGACAACGGACAGGCGAGGAAAAAAAGCCTCAGGGGCTAAATACCTCTGTGCCTCTCAAATCTGAGGGTGCATCAGCAGCACGGTAGTGGGGGGGTGTTAAACAGAGATTGCTGTGGTCCCTTTTCTAACCCAGTAGGTCTGGATGGAGACTGCGATTCTGCAAGTCTAGTGAGCACCCAAGTGCTAGACCACCCTTTGAGAAGCCCTGAGAAACAGTGTGATCACAAGCTGGGGTAATATGTGGGCTGGCCGCCCCCTAGTGTTCCTGTGCAGTATCACATGAACAGGATAATTCTGAACCCTTTCAAAGTCACCGCAAGTCTCCGTGATTCCCCCGCGGGGGAACAAGGAGTTGATATGAATGAATCCTCACAAGACTATGTAATCGAGAGATTTCAGCTCATGGGAGACACAATTTTCCCTGTGGTAAAACTGAATCTCTGGATTTTCTCTGGGAGGGGAAAAAAAGTTAAACTTCTCCCTTCATAGACCGATTATTTAACCTTAATATATTTCCAAAAGCCCTCTGAAATGCCCTAAAAGACTCCAATTGTGTATTCAGTATATAAAATAAAGAAAAGCAGCATACTCTCTAGGGCAGAGTCCAGGACTCAAACACTTTTCTGTTCCTTGCATTAAACTTGATGTCCAGCATGTAGGCAGTAAATGTTAAGCAATTTTAAATACTCATCAACACTGTTCACAACATTATTTTCAAGTAGAACTCATTTAAGCCAATGAGAGCACTCACTCCTTGAAATTCTGGTTTCAAGGGCCATGTGCCTTGGGGAAGCCCGAGAAAGGGGAATTTCCACTGACTATGCCTTCTAACTGAAAAATCCAATAAAATCTAACTGAAAAATCCAATAAAATCTTAATATCCTAGAATTATACATAAAGTTATGACAACCATGTTCTGATGGCTGGCCCTGGAGGTGCAAGCCTTCCAAAGAGACCTTCCCAGTGAACCACTGTTTGACCCCCTCTGCTGGTGTGTTTTAGCCACACTTGGAACCCTATCAACTACCCAGCGATTCACCTTTCCTCATAAAAACACCCCATTTTCTATCTTTCCAAGCTTCACACACATGTCTCATTAGCCTGATGCTTTAGGCAAGTTGATAGGTCTGTCTTCCTTTCATACCAAAGACAGTCAAGGAATTCCACGTGAATCCTCATCTGTTCTTGGCATTCTTGTTATTGACAGGGTGGGGAGATCCCTCCGTGGCAAGTACTCACTATTGACACGTAGTTCAATGTTCCTAGTCACGTTGTACGGCATGCCTTCATGGGTGAATGTCATGGCACAAGTGTAATAACCCGCATCCTCCACAGACACATTTTGGATGAGTAAGCGAGAGGTTCCCCTCACACTTAGAAACTTCTCGTTGTCTTGATCCAAAAGGACAGAATCCTTAAGGGAAAATACTTTTCAGAGTTATGCTATGTACTAATTTATATCTCAAAAGCTATATATGAATATCACACATATTATCGATCAATGTTGAATAAGCAACCCAAGAATTGCCCTGGTACTTACTTGGCGAAAGGACTTTGGACATACCACTAACTGTATTCTTTAACAGAGGGAATTTGTTAACAGATAAAATGAAATTGTAGGATTTGTTTAATCACAATGTTTATAGCACATCTGTGTAAGCACAACGGGGAAAAAAAAGAAACTATCTCTTATTTGATAAAGCCATGACAAACCACCTTGGGAAACATGGAGGGAAGAGTAGTAGTATGTCATCAGGGTGACTGTAATACTCAGAAGTAATATTCAGGAAAAATGAAGAAATGATGTTAGAGTAATGATTTTGAAAATCATTTCAATTTTAGGAGTTAGTAAAGACAGAGGAAAATGTGTAAGAAAAAACTAAGCGTGAGGAACAAGGGCACACTTTCCATATGGACAAAAGATTCTGTGGGTCCTGCACCACAGAACTCTCAAGAGCAAGGCCTCCAATAACAGAAAACATTGAATGGGATTCGAGTAAACATCCCAATGAGCACAACGTGTTCTCAGGAACCTATCTTTCAAAACCATGATCGAAAGCTTGCGACAGTCAAACATAACCTTGAGTCATCTCTGAATCTTGCTCTGAATGGGAGCACAGATATAACTGGAATAGTTTGTCAGCTAGGGGCTCATAAAGTATTATTTTACAATATATTTAATTAAAAAGAGATTTTATTGTCCCTAACATGAGTCCCCAAACATGAAAAAAAGCCAAACGGGGCTCAGCACCCCAGTTCTTCCAAGGCCCCCAAGCCCCCAGGGCTCCCTGGCAGTGGTGTGTGGAGCCTGGCCTCCAGTGCTGGAGTTCTGGCTTCCCTGTCTACCAGCTGTGTGACCTTGGGCAAGTGCCTTACATTTCTGTCTCTCTGTTTCCTAACCTGTAAAATGGAGATATTAACAATCCCTACTTTGTTAGGTTATATACCAGGGAACCTAGAGCAGAATTATACACAGTACCTGCTCAGTAATGATTAGCACTGGTATCCTGTATGTATCTTGTAGCTATAATACCAGTCAACTGGTTGACCATTTCTTGATTAAAGGATTCATTTCTATCAAATTTTAAACAAGTAACTGTACTTTTCAGTATCAGTCTATGGTCTGTCTATATCAGGGGTCTGCAAATTTTTCCTGTTAAGGGCCAGACAGTAAATATTTCAGGCCTACAGTCCATATGGCCTCTGTCCTCTGCTAAGTTTGAAGAGCTACTCAATTTGGCCCTTGCAGTACGAGACCACAGAAACAGCATGGCCACGCCCCAGTAAAACTGTATTTATGGACACTGAAATTTGAATTTTATATCCTTTTCACATATCATGAAATACTAGTCTTCTTTTAATTTTTTTTTAAGATTTTATTTATTTATTTATTTGACAGAGAGAACAGGCAAGGGGAGCAGCAGGCTTCCCATCGAGCAGGGAGCCCTCAGGGCTCGATCCCAGGACGCTGGGATCATGACCTGAGCCAAGGGTAGACACTTAACTGACTGAGCCACCCAGGCGCCCCTAATTTTTTTTAAAGATTTATTTCTTTCAGAGAGAGGGAGAGAGAGAGAGCAAGCGTGCGCTCAGGGAGGAGGGACAGAGGGAGAGAAACTTCAAACAGACTCCCTGCTGAGCGCAGAGCCCAGCATGGACCTCGATCTCATGACCTGAGCCAAAACCAAGAGTCGGACGCTCAACCGACTGACCCAAGGCGCCCCTCTTTTAATTTTTTTTAACCATTTAAAAAAGTGAAAACTATCCTGAGCTGTTGGGCAGGTGTCAGGTCAGTTTGGCCACATGTTATAGCTGTAGTTTGCCCACACCTGCTCTACACAAGTGATCTAGGGTAGCATTTATTCAACCAGCCAAGAAAACAAATTGTTTATATTTACACCTTTAGCCCGAAAGTTAATTATCATGTGCTTTAAAAAAGCTTCATTAAAATGTACACAGTTGTTAACTAAACCAATAGTTTTCTCTACATTTCTTTTTTTCCTACATTTCTATAGACAAATGACAGTGTAAAAAGCTATTTTCTTCAGCTGTCACTTACCCTGCATTCATTTTGAATTCTGGTTTCTCAAAGTTCTACTCTGAGGACCCTTACCCAAGCCACACACAGATGAATAGAACATTATTAATCACGCCCCTTTTTAAAATAACTAGTTGAAAAAAAAAACAGAAATATAAAAGTGAATGTGTTGCTTTCAGAATGGGTATTTTATATCTTTCCTGTGGCTAGTAAGACACGTTTTAATTAAAGTAGCAATTTTTTAAAGAGGTACCTTGTACCACTGAATCTTCACGTCCATTTTGTTATGGGTGAATTCACTCAGCTCAGGGCAAACTAAGGACCCAGAGGTTGACAAGGTTAGAATTTGCGGGTACGATATGAAAGGCAGGGAAGCTTCTGTCTTCTCGAAAACCCGGAGCTCAATGGACATTTCATCACAGTAAGAGGCATTTCTGAAGTCAAGGGAAAAAAGCATAATAAATGATAAGGCAAAATAACAGCAACGCTAAATGAAATTGAGAATAATTTCCCCAATCCCATTAAATTCTGGGAATCATCTATCAACTGAAGTCAAATTTCAGAAAACTGCGGAGAACTTTGGGTAAGATCTCTAAAATATTTTTGCAATACTGCATGGGGGAAATGAACTTGGCAAGTTTGTCTTTAATTTGGGGGTTTTTTTTTGGTTCGCCTAACTCTAACCTCAATATCATAATTCTATCAAGACCTTAGAACTGGGGAAAGGGCAGAGGCATAACACTGATAGAAACATGGGAAAAAAACAGAAAAACATAACAATATAGTTATCTCAGCTAAGTAAGTTCCTGGCTACATAATCAACAGAAACCATGAGAATGTGCTGTATAAGGAGGGGCGGGGCGGGGGGGGGGGGGCAGGAAGGGCCTGCACAGCAAAAGGCAAAACAGTCTATATCTAAAGAATGAACAAAATGTGACAAATATACGTGAGAGAAGTAAGTAACAAAAGCTTGCTACCTGAAAGTAAAAAGAATTAATTCAAACAGACAAAACCATTGTCTAATATTATATTTCATGTCTGGTTAAAAAAAAAGGAAAAGCTGAACAAACATTTTAGGCACAAAGAAATGCAGAAAGCTAACTATCACCTTGAAAAGTACATAATCTCGCTGTAAGTCAGAGAAAGGCAAATGAGGACAAGTCCAAAGAACAGCGCACACCTGAAAAGAGTCATTTTACCAGCAGGAAGAGGTCTGTACTAGGTGCTCTACATATGTTATTTTATTTATTCTCCAACCCTACAAGGTAGGAATTATTATTATATCATTTTTAGGTGAGGAAAATTAGGTATGCAGAAATGAAGTCATTTCCTAAGGTTGCAGAGCTACCAGGAGGTCAAACCAAGGTTAGAAGCCAAGGAAGGCTCTGGGAAAACCCGTAAATTCGGGCAATATCTCCGGAAACCAAACTTACTACACATATCGAGAGTTCCAAACCTGTTCACATTATTGATCTGGTAATTCCCCGTGGGCAAGATAGTCCGTGAAAATAACTCAAAAGACTGATGGGTGGGGAATAACCACTCACATTCTCCGTGTGGTGTGGCATCTCCACATGGTGGATGGTGGACATTAGTGCTGTTCACCGAGTGTGTCCAGTTCCCCCACTCTGAGCAAATGGTGGAATTACACATCATGGCCCACTGTGGGTGGGTGCAGTTATAAGACTTTTTCTAGTCCATGGGATGTATGTGTGTCTCTTGTACACCAAAGTTTCAATATCCAAGCGAGACACTAAAACATGTCTTCTTCTGGTACGACAACCAACACTTGAGATAACGTCTGTTCCTTCAGTCTGGGTTCCTGATTGTCTGCCAAACCATCACGGGCTTGTAGGCTTGTTGCATGTGTGATAAACCTTTGTGGTTTTAAGCCACTGAGATTTGGGGGGCTGTTTGATTTAGCAGCATAACTTGCCCACCCTGGTTGATAGTGGGTTCTAGATCAGAAGATTATAAAAATCACAGGAACACGGCTGTGTTAGTAACTGCCAAGGGGTATTAGGGCAACCGTTGGTGATTCTCACTCTGCTGGAATCCCAATCTTAGAGCTGGAAGAGAGTTCTAAAGACCAGCCAGGGAGACTCTCTCACATGCTAAGAAACCTTGACCCTGGGATTTCTTCTGCGCCCCCTCAATCTCAGATCTCTCTTTTTCTACAAGAACAGAGAATAAAGGGGTGCCTGTGTGGCTCAGTCGGTTGATTGACTCTTGATTTCAGCTCAAGTCATGATCACAGCGTGGTGAGATCGAGCCCCACATCAGGCTCTGCACTCAGCCGCATGTCTGCTCAAGATTCTCTTTCTCTCCCCCTCCTTCTGCCCACCCCCCTCTAAAATAAATAAATAAATCTTTAAAAAAAAAAGAATAGAAAATAAAATAAGGGTATTAGATACAATTTTTTAAATCGAGTATAAAAACAAACTTTAAGACAAACATGACTCAGTTCACATCTCCCTGATTTTTGCATATTATCACTTCAGTAATCAATAAGTATTGCCTTTGGGAAAGAAAAGGCATTTTTTTTTTTAAATTTATTTATTCATTTGAGAGAGCGAGAATGAGAGAGAGTACATGAGAGGGAGGAGGGTCAGAGGGAGAAGCAGGCTCCCCGACGAGCAGGGAGCCCGAAGCAGGACTCAATCCCGGGACTCCAGGATCATGACCTGAGCCGAAGGCAGTTGCTTAACCAACTGAGCCACCCAGGCGCCCAAGGCATTTTGATGTATATATTGACCATCTTCTATGATGCTCCCCATAACTAGATGCTCCGCATGCTGTGATTTCAAAGGACTCTCCCAACAAACCCTTTTACAGAGGAGAAAACTGAGATCCCTAAATGCCAAGTAAGAAGACCAAGGTCCTCCTACTGGCTAGAAAATGAGAGGGCTAGGATTTACACTCATACCATTCCAACTCCGAATTCCATTCTTTTTCTACCACACTATTAAGTTTTCCTAGTAGTGCTCCTTAGGAAAACGTTAGAATTTTCTGTACTAAAAGGAAAGAAAAACTATGCCTTTATAGCTATTGTAAAATCAGATATCCACATTGCCCTGATATGGAAAGAAGAGACTGCCTACCTCTTTCCTAGGCAGGGTTCACTGACAGGACTGAACACACTCACCCATCCACCCACATACACACCACACACACACACACACACACACACACACACACACATCATCTAGGACTGACTAGGGCTGATATTGTCTGAAATTCTCCCATTCACCAGTAATTCCCTTGTGCTATGAATGCACTTTCTTTGGTTCTCTTTCTAAATGAAAATACTCGTAGGTACAGTTTCTCCTTAAATCAAGCAGGTTTATGAGATGTGCAGAGACTCTAAAGTTAGCTGGTAGAAGGAGTGGGCAGAGCCTGGGGGCAAGATACAGGCAGCAGCTGAAGAGAGAAGACCAGGGACACTACTTCCCAGTCTGCCCTAATCCTTTCTGGAGAACTTAGCCAGGCAAGGTTTAAAATCACCAACACTAACTACACCTACAGCTTTCTCCTGCATGAAGCAGCAAGCTTTGCCAAGACCACTGAATGGGGAATGGACAGTCTTTTCAATAAAAGGTGTTAGGAAAACTGGATAGTCACTTGCAAAAGAAGGAAGTCAGACCATTACCTTACGCCATGTATAAACTTTAACTCAAAATGGATCAAAGACCTAAACATAAGAGCTAAAACTATAAAAATTCTTACATGAAAACACAGGGTAAATCTTTTTTTTTTTTTAAGATTTTTTATTTATTTATTTGAGACAGAGAGAATGAGAGACAGAGAGCATGAGAGGGAGGAGGGTCAGAGGGAGAAGCAGACTCCCTGCCGAGCAGGGAGCCCGATGCGGGACTCGATGCGGGACTCGATCCGGGGACTCCAGGATCATGACCTGAGCCGAAGGCAGTCGCTTAACCAACTGAGCCACCCAGGCGCCCTAAATCTTTACAACATTAGATACAGCAATGATTTCTTAGATAGGACATCAAAAGCACAGGCCACCAAAGAAAAAACAGATAAATTGAACTTTATCAAAATTAAAAACCTTTGTGCATCAAAGAACATTATCAAAAGAGTAAAAAGGCAACCCGTGGCATGGGAGAAAATAATTGTAAATCATATATGTGGGAAGGGATTGAGAGCCAGAATACATAAAGAATTCCTACAATTCAAAAACAAATAATTTGATTAAAGAATGGATAAAGAAGATGTGATACACACACACACGCGGGAATATGACTCAGCTATAAAAAAGAATGAAATCTTGCCATTTGCAATGACACGGATGGATCTAGATGGAATAACGCTAAGTGAAATAAATCAGTCAGAGAAAGACAAATACCATATGATTTCACTCACAGGTAGAATCTAAGAAACAAAACAGATGAACAAAGAACAAAAGATACAAACAAACAAAAAGATTCTTAAATACGGAGAAAAAACTAGTGGTTGTCAGAGATGGGTGGTGGGATGGGAGAAATAGATGAAGGGGATTAAAAGTATACTCAGTGATGAGCACTGAGAAATGTACAGAACTGCTGAATCATTATACTCTGTACCTGAAACTAACATAACACTGCATGTTAATTATATTTCAATTTTTAAAAGAAATGTAAAATAATAAGACAACAAAAACATTTTAAAGTTACAAATGGGCAAAGGACTTGAATAGACTTCCGGCCAGTAAAGGACATGGAAAGATGCTCAGCATTACTAGTCATTAGGGAAATGCAAATCAAAAGCATAATAATCTATCACTTCATGCCCAGTAGGATGGCTATTATCCCTCTCCAAGAAAAACCCAGAAAATAGTAAGTGTTGGTGAAGATGTAGAGACACTGGGACCCGTGTGCACTGCTGGTGGGAATGTAAAAATGGAGCAGCTACTGTGGCAAATGATATGATGATTCCTCAAAAAATTAAACATAGAATGACCAATTCTCTCCTGGGTTTGTACCCAAGAGAAGTAAAAGGGACTCAAAGAGATCTCTGTACACCTATGATCAGAGCAGCATTACTCACAATAGCCAAAAGGCAGGTACAGTGTCCACTGACAGATAAACGCGTAACCAAAATATGGTATATTTATGCAATGGAATATTATTCAGTCTTAAAAAGGAAGGGAATTCAGACACACGCTGCAGTATGCATGACCCTTGAAGGCACTGTGCTCAGTGAGATAAGCCAGTCACCAAAGGACAAATACTGCTTGACTCCACTCCTATGAGGTATTTAGAGCAGTCAAATTCATGGACAGACAATAGATGGGGGCTGCCAGGAGCTGGGGGAAGGGGAAGGAGGAGTTCATGGTTAATAGGCACAGAGCTGCAGTGTGAGAAGATGAAGAGTTCTGGAGATGGACAGTGGTGATGGTTGCACAACAATGTGAATGTGCTTAACACACAGAATTGTACATGTAAAAAGGGATAAGATGATAACTTTTATGTTATGCATATGTTGCCACAATTTAAAAAAAAAGGCAACAGGACAAAGAGGAAGGGGTCTACACCCCACATCAGGGGCTGTGAGTTCCAGTCTCAGCTCCACACCTACCACCTAGGAACACTTTATAAGTGAGCTTGGTCCCCTCACACGTACAATAAGCAGTTGGGTGAACTCATTCCTAAAGTCTCATCCAGTGTTCTACATCGATTTCTTCTGTCCATGTGGACACAGGCATGAACAAAATGGATCAAGTCCCTGTCGACCTAGAGTTTACATTCTAATGGGGTATAGACAACGTTAAATACGTAAACACATGAGTGTGTCAGGTGAGGAAAAAACACCAGCAGGGGAAAGAGAGAGTGTGTCAGGAGTACTGGTTTAGGTAAAGTAGCTAGGGAAGTCCTCTCCAAAGAGGTGACATTTGAGCAAAGACTTCAGTGAAGAGAAAGAGCCATGAAGACATCTGGGGAAGGTTCTCGGGTAGGAGGTATTCAGGAACAGTGAAGAGGACAAAAGGTAGCTTCTCACCTATGCACTGGATTTTGAAATCCAGGTCATCACTGAAGAACCATGCAGAAGCCCATTCTGGAAGGAGACCCATTCCTACCCTAGTCCCAGGGGGTTGGGAGGGCTTACCTGATAGTGCAGATGTAGGTGCCAGAGTCCTCTTGCAAGGCTGGCAAGATCCAGAGAGCACCATCCTGGATCCACATTCGCGTCTCTTCTTCCCCAGGGACCTTTCTAGTAGAATCGTTTTTACGCCACGTCACGTTGACATAGGGGCTGACAGATGCCCACAACCAGAGCTGCGCCTGGGGGCACCTCAGGACCACAGGCTCCCCTTCTACCCTGAAGTCGGTTTTGAAATGCTTGCCAAGAAATTTGCAGTTTTCTGCAGCCACTAAAGGACAGGGAGACCACAGTCAAGCTTTGGGTCCAAAACCTCCTTTGATGGGCACATCTGAAGAAGCCGAGTGCCCCTAACAAGTGACCTGCACCCTGGGGGCCCCATTAGCCCCTCCTGTTATAATGACTTCAAAACTCCCCAAAACAACTTTAGGGCTTCTGTCCATTCCAATTTAAATTTTGTGGGGAAAGTTAAATCCGGTTCACAGGATGACAAAAAATGATTAAAAAGTTGGGTCATATTCTTCACTTGTTGACTCCTTAACATTAAAAGCAGATCTTGGCTGAGTTCAGACAGAAAAAGAGCTTAGTTGTGACAAGACATGTGGTTAAAATCTAAAAGCATCTTTTATTGAGGGCAAAAGCACCACTTCCTTGGCTCACTCTTTGGCAGGAATGACTGATACCCACAGCAAGCTCCGTGCAACAGAGGAGATGGACAGGAGGAAGGATATGTCCCACCTTGCTCTTTGAAAACAACCAACTTCACTAGATAAACAACTATTTTCCCCCAGAGAAGCTGCAGGCAAGCTCTCTTCAGCTGATAGACTCATTTTTTTTAAAGATTGTATTTATTCATTTGAGACACAGAGATACAGAGAGCGAGCACGAGCAGAGGGAGAGGCAGAGGGAGAGGGAGAAGCAGGCTCCCCGCTGAGCCAGGAGCCCAGTGTGGGGCTCCATCTCAGGGCCCCAAGATCATGACCTGAGCCGAAGGCAGACGCTTAACCATCTGGGCCACCCAGGTGCCCCAAGACTCATTTTTTACCTGCGTGTTCCTCAGGCTGAATGGTGAAGCCTGAAACACTCATTACCAACATGTAAAAGATGAACATTGTTTCTGGCAACTTCTGGAGGACACAGGAGGTGGAGATCTCAGGTCCAGCACTCCACAGCCTATAGGAGGAGACAGAGGGGTCACCAGGAGTCACACACAGCCAGAGAGAGAACACCTTGAAGATGGTCCCGGAAGCAGGTTCTAGAGGCTTCACCTGATGATGGAAATTTTTGCCTAGACTTTAGACTTTTTAACAAGAAAAATGCCCAAGTTTTGGAGTTGCTCCTCAATAGCTATATTCACTGAGCACATCTAACATCAAATCCCCAGAGTACTTACAAGGTGCCTTGGAATAGATGTTCCATATCCTAAGTGTCTCTCCTGAAATGTGCCTTAGTATTCCCTGCCCTGCGCTGAGATGCTCTTTCCTCAGCTATGGCCACTGCTCAGGTTTTCTCCTCCTTCAGGTCTCTACTCAAGCATCACTCATGGTGAGGTCTTCCCTGACATTCCTGTGTAAAACTGCACCACCCTTCTGCCTCAATGCTCCACATTTTTCTTTCCTACACTATTGCTCTCTGTGGCATTCATCATCAACTGTGTCTCCTCCCTCTGGAATGCCAGCTCATGGGCTCAAAGATCTTACTTTATTTTACTCACAGCTATATCCCTAACTTCTATTTGTTGAATGAATGAATGAGTGAATTAATCACTAGAAGTCAAAAGGTCCTCATATTTTACTTGTTGGAGAACTTTTCCTATTGTCTTTATGGATTAGCTCTTACTTTATGTACAATTCCGACATACACTGTTGGATTATATATATTATATATACCACTAACTCTCTGGTCTAGAGCATGCTGGGGTGGGGGGGGGAGAGAAATAAGGTCCAAATAGTGAATAAGTTATGTGTAATGAAGTTCATGAAGCACTCCTGGCCACATACCTCCCCGAGACCAGAGCACCAGGTGCCTCTTAATCTCCCTGCAGTTCTCACACCATATCATAATTACCTGTTGTATTAGCTCCCCAGTGTCCCAACAATACTGCCAGCAATCCACCTCAACACTCAACACTGAAATGCGTAAAACAATCACCAAGGCGATCACGCCAATGGTGTAAAACGATTCTGGCTCACAAGTCTGTGGATCTGACCTAGATCAGGCCGGGTTAGGCTTGGCTCCAGGCTTTGGGTGGGCTCTAAGTCAGCTCCATGTGTCTCTCATCCTCCCTGAACCTTTGACTGTCTGGGAGATGATCCTCTCCTGCAATGGCAAAAACACAAGCAATGTGGGCAAGAGCACTCAAGGCCTTGCCCAGAACTAGCTCACTCCCGTCTGCCCCACATTCCATTGGCCAAAGAAAGTCACGTGGCCAGAGCTGCCATCAGTGGGGCAGGGAAATTACCCCCACCTCTAGTGGGAGGAGTTCCAAGTTACACCGGGAGGGGAAACACGTGGGAGCAACCAGGACGCCTAGCATGACTGTTTCTTGTCTGGCTCCCCGTGGCTGGGGACAGCCTTGAGAAGAGAGGCCTGGTCTTTGTAGCCCTCAAGGCCTACAAGATACCCAGTCCCAGAAAATACCAGGGAATATTTATGATCAGAACCCTAGCAGGGAATTGGAAGTGATGAGTGAGTCCAGGAAAAAAAAGATTCCCTCCCACCACCCCTCCCCCATTTCCTTAAAGTTTAACTTGTTCCCTGTTCCTGGAACAGATACCACTCTGAATGTCTCACAGTAAACCCAGATGGCCGTTAAGTGGCCAGGGCCGGGTTGGCAAACTGAGGAAGTAACCCTTGCATGCTAGAAGCCCTCGCTCATCAGAAGGCATGAGCTCAGAGTTGCAGTCTGAACTCCCCCTCTGGTGATGTGGAGCCTGAGCGGGTAGTGAATGACCTGAGATTTTCCCCTTAGCTGGGTGTCTGCCCCAGGGCTGTTTCCCCTAAACTCTTCCTGCTTCTGCATGGTCCTATCCTTCACATGTTTCTGAAACACAAATATATCCTGTAACTTTAACCACTAACCCCAGCCTCAGGTTAACCAGGCCACTTGATTAGCATAAACATCACATCGACATTGACTAAGTTGCTTTGTCCTCTGCACCCACATTAGCTTCTCACGTCCCCAACTGTACTGGTCCCAGCCAGACTCACTGGTTCTCTAGGAAGTATGTGAAAGAAGTTGGAATCAAATACACATGGATAACCAACACCACGTATCCCAATAAGTGAATGAAGTCAAAGATGGGGACACAGGCACATATGTAACAGTGACAGCTACTGAGCTGAATACTGAGCATCGGTTCTCTCATTTTGTGTTGTGTTGTGAATATCATGCCAATCTGACAGATCATATAATAGAAGAGATTAAGGAGGTTATATAGCTTGACTAATATCTTACAGCTTGTAAGCAGGAATTGAAGTTTAAACCCAGGACTACTGATTCCAAAGCCCTTACTCTTCAAAAATATAGTTTCTCTGACAGATGCTGCTAGTTTCCTCCTCTAATATCCACCTTGGATATGAGAGGACGGATTATAGAACCCATTATAGAAGCCCTGACTCAACGCAGCACATCACTAGCCCACACAAAGACTACATTTCCCATCCCCCTCTGCAACTAGAAGTGGCCACGTGACAGAATTGAGGCCAATAAAACGTAGGTGGAAAAATAGGCTCCTCCTGGGAAGTTGACTTCAAAGTCTCCACCGGTCTTCCTTTCTGCTGGCTCAGTATGGATGTGGTGGGTGGATTGCAGTCACCACGTTGGGCCACAGGCACAGACCACTTGCTGACAGTGCTGGGGCGACAAGACAGGAGCATGAGTCCTCGGTGGCTTGGCTTTGTGGAACTGCTCTCCCACCCTAGACTATCTTTTTTTTTTACATGTTTAGGCTTCCTGCCATACACCGCCAAACCTAATCCCAATATGCAAACTTTCCAAAGTTTATGAAAAGGACCCCAGGGAAGGTGCCCTGCCAGGTAGGGCTGTCACCAGTCCGCTTTCTGATACTCAACAGTTTCAAGCAGTTCTGAAGATTGACGCTAAGAAGTCATTTCAACGCAAAGGCAGGGGGAGCTGGGCAGCCGCCCCTCGGAGGGGAGCTCCCCGCAAGACAGGTGCAGGCTTTGCCTTGAATTATGTGGTTTGTAACCAAGTTTAAAATTATTTTGACACCAGAAAGTCAGGCTGTGTCCACGCAGGGGTGGTGGTTAGCTGAGGCTTCACAGAGCTACCGAGCAGAAGGGGTCCTAGAGAAATCTAGGCCCCTCACTTTCTTTTCCAGGTGTTGAAAGTGCCTTGGACATTAATGCGCTTCTCAAAATGGCACGTGTGGTCAGGGTGAGAAGTAGAGATGTTTCAACAAGGACCCTGTTCCAGCAGAACAAAATCCTAAAATGTCCTCCTCAAGCAACGGCCATTCCCCAGCCCCTCTTGGCCCTCCTCCAACCCCCCCACCTCGGGAACCCCTGCAGCCAAGGGAATTGTGTTGGTTTCCCTCTGAGGACTTTGGCAAAACAGCTGCTTCACTGTGACCTCTTCAGGAAGTGGCTTCAGGCAATTAAACCACAAACACGGATCACTTTCAATCATCAAAACCCCAGGAAAAAGTTGGAACCAAGATTGCCACAGTGTGGGAAGCAGTAAGTCTTTGGCAGGCCCGAAGGAAAGAGAATTTGTTCTGCCGAGGCTTGCAGCAAAACTTGCCTCTCCTGCCCTACTTTCTTTTGATGTATCTTTAAATTACAGACAATTTGAATTTCTGCTTGAATCTTAGTTGACCTTCTTACTGGAAGAAAAAAATTTTAAAGGCAGCCGGTTCCAAGAATTTGAGTGACTTTTTTTTTTTTTTTTTTGTGGTCACACAACCATGTTTTACTACACCCAGTGTTTGAAAACCAACGAATGAGACGAAAAGCAGGTCCAGGCATAAGGAAAGGACCAACAATGTGTGAAGAGTTCGAGAAGGAGAAAGAACACAGTAAGGTGGAAAGAGCTTTTAGCACCACACTGAGCCCAGCTCTCCGGGCTCAGCCTCCTGATCACAGATGGGACACAGAGCCTAAGAGTATCTAGCTGTTTGCTTCACCTTGAGAATGGTAAAATACCAGTATGTATTTCACCTCGATTCACCAGTTATTAACATTTTGCTTTATTCCCTTTCTCTGTCTCTCCCTCTCTGTCCTCTCTCTCTCTCTCTCTCTCTATATATATATATATCTACACACACACTCACATACATATATGTATATATATACACATACATATTTTTCCCCTGAACACAGGGAAGTTGCAGACATCCTCACACTTCACCCCTAAAGACTTTAGAACGCATGGAGGAACACATTTTTAGCAGACTGAAAACAAATTAGTAAGTAAATGATAGAATGATAGTTCCAGAGATAAATCTTCAGGCATTTAAAGTGACTCAACATCTTACTCTACAGTCTACTTTAATATATCTCTTAATTCACTGAGATTAAACTTTATTTCCATTTTCACCTTGTTACCGGATGTTTGTAGGCAACTGTCCATCTCTGAGTCAGGAGGTACAGTCATCCACGAAAGCAAAACAAAGGTGACAGATCTTGAATATTAATGGAGTCAAATAGTTATCAGGCCTGACGCATACCATTTGTCAACTCCAGTTTGTAAAATAAATCCCTAAAAACCGACACATGTTGTGGCAGGCGTGTGTTATAAAACCTTTTGACACCCATGGGAAAATAAATATTTGCATCAAAGTGAAGCTCGGAAATTTTTTAAAATTCAAAGCAGAAGCAAAATAAGAAGTATTGGGAACTCAGGTTCTGGAAAGCACAGGACATGAAGAGTTTGGGGAATAAGGAAATATAAATAAATATAAATAAATAAATAATAAGGTCCTATATTTCTCTGCCTCTAGTTTCAGAGGCAGAGAAATATAGGACCAGGGTTGAGGCAGCTTTTTTTGAAAATACACTGGCTCAAAGCAGAACCCTTGACGGATTGTCCACAGATTATTTTTGGTTCTACAGAAAAGAGAGAAACTAGTTTCCCACCACACACACCCCCTCCCTCAGAACTGAGGGAATTCAGTGCGGCATAATGGGACTGTTTCTGGTCTGCATGGCCG